CAAATATCGACAAAGGATCAAAGTTTTATCTGCAAGATAAGACCAAGGCGGGAAAGATCATCGATATTCCCGAAGGTTCATACGACATTGTGGACATTGAGACATTCATACGCAAAGAATTGGGGATCTCAAGTGCAAAGGACGTTGATGATATATTCTCGTTGAAGCCCAACAATAATACACTAAAGTGTGAGATTTCGAGCAAACAGTTTGCCATTGATTTTCGTCCAAAGGATAGCATAGCTCAAGTCTTGGGATTTTCAAATAGATTGTTGAACGCACAACAAGTCCACACTTCCGATTTGCCGGTCAGCATAACCAAAGTGAGAACCATTCACATTGATAGCAACGTTACTGCTGGAGCTCTCTACAACGACAGACCATCACATACGATCTACGAGTTTGCAGTTGCAGTCGATCCTGGTTACGCCATAGACGAGACTCCCAGAAATCTAATCTATCTACCTATAGTCAGCAGGCGGGAATCGCCCAACATTACACTCCAGATTCTAGACCAAGATTTCAGGCAGGTGAATTTTAGAGGTGAAGAAATCATCATAAGATTGGAATTGAAGAAACTCGCAAGATGGTACTAGTGTTTGATTACTCCTATAAATCAGATAATATACCATCATCAGCAACATCATCAGCACCAGTTCTCTCGACACCGTACACCAAAGCAGTCGTGTCTTCGAAGAGCAGCAGCAGCCGCAACAGAAAAACATTGACATTATCCAGTGTCCTGTTTCTGAAATCACTCAAAGACTACAATGTTGTTAGCACCCGTGTTCGACGTTTTCCGCAAACCCAGACTCGACGGAAGCATCACTAAAGTGAAATGGCGTACCTATTATCCATATGTGAAATCATTCGAGAACAATGATGTCATCGATATAACGGTTAATCAAGCAGATTCGTGGTTGGCCATGTTTGAAGGCATCATTACCATCAAGGGTAAATTGAAGGTGACCGGTGGTGGTACTGGTACATTAACCCACAATGCTGGAGCCTATCTCTTTGATTCCTGCACCTATGAATTGTGTAATAAAGAATTGGACACTGTCAGATATCCTGGAATAACGAGTACTGTGCGAGGATACTTGTGTTATACGCCTGAAGACTCACGTCATCTAGCCATAGCAGGCTGGAACTATCCCAATGCTCCGATCCTCAACACCGATGGTACGTTTAGCATGAACATTCCACTGAAACATTTGTTTTCCATCTTCAATGATCATCAAGTGGCAACGTGGGGCAAGCAGTCAATCCGTTTAGTGAGAGCTCGCAATGATGCCAACAGTGTGAAGGTTGTCGAGAGAGCGAATACTGCTTTGCCAGGATCTCCTCAGACTCAAAGTATTGCTAAAATAACGATAGAAAGCATCAATTTGAAAGTGCCACATCTCACACCCAACGATGACATAAAGTTGCAGTTGTTGACACGTATCAAAGCAGATGAGCCTATGATGATACCGTTTCGCAGATGGGAATTGCACGAGCTACCAGCACTCACACAAGGATCTACCATAGAAATCTGGTCCGTCAAGACATTTTCTGCATTGGACAGTCCAAGATATGTTATAGTATTTTTCCAAACGAAAAAAGCCGATAATTTGCATGAAGACGTCACCTTGTTCGATAATGCCAACATCAAATCCATACGATTGGCTCTGAATAGCGACTATTATCCGCAAGAACGAATGCTATTGGACTTTTCCCGAGACCAATATGCCGACGCCCACTTCAACTATACAGAGTTCAACAAGAGCTACCATAACTGTCAAGAAAAGCGCTCTCTAGTAAACTTTGCCGAATTCAAATCCCGACCAATGTTTGTTATCGATTGCTCGAGGCGCCATCTGGGTCTAAAGTCGTCCACAGTTGACATAAAGTTGGACATTGAAGCGACTACAGGCTTCCCTCCCGACACCAAAGCCTATTGCATCATCATTCACGATCAAATCATGGAACATCTCCCACTCAGCGAAATTGTTCGAAATATTGCCTAGGTGGGTGTTGCTGCATCAGTCAGACGTCAGTTTGCTTCGAAGAGCCATGGAGATCGCACTGGTTGATATTCAAGGGTTCATGGTTGATGGTGAATTCATTCCAAAGGAAATGACCATTCGCATTGGCAAAAAGATGAGTCATTTTCTATTCAAGCCATCTGTAGAATTTTCGAGTTTAAGCAGAGAAGATAAAAAGATGGCAAATCATGTGGAGCGTTACGTTCATGGTTTAAAATATTCCAGTGGTTATGTGGATTTGAATGAGTTGGATCAAATACTACGAGATAACCTGCAGCAGACAAACATCATCTACGTAAGAGGCCATCAAAAGATTCAGTTTTTACAGCGAAAATGTGCAGAGTTGGAGATGACCAATCACATTGTTAATTTGGAAGATTTTGACAATTCTTGGTGGCAACCAATAACGTTTCAACAATCCATTCCACCTTGCATGAATCATTTCCATGGAGGAAGGTTCCAGTGCAGTCTCCACAATGTCGATACTTTATATAATTGGTTATGTAATTTATTGCCAAAATAAAAAACTATATATCGTAATTTCAGAGTTTTTATTCATCACATCCCTTATTTCTCAGTATAATGAAAATAACATGTGAGATTAAAATGAGTGAACATATTAGTGTACAACAAAGTGTAAAAATTGCAATGATATTGACAGTATCTTGATCATCATCTAATTTTGCGGGTGATTTCTTCAATGTAAATGTCTGCCAGTCTCCCATTTCGCCGTCACTGCCATCAGAAAACGATAATTTCAATTTGTAGTCGATGGTGGTCCCATTGACTCGGGGCATGTCGATTGAATATACAGGTAGTTTGTTATCATTGGCATACATTCTACGCATCAGCTTCCAATCACACTGTTGTGTACGATTCACATCAAAACATACGGCTGCATTCCTCGTATTGTACGGTATGTTTGTGTAGAAGACGTTGTTGCTCAGAGCTGTCAATAGAATGAAGCTTGCTTTCAGTATCGCCATCTAGTAGCTGTGTTGGTTGGATTCTTCTCGATGTAGGTGCAGCTGTGCGTCTCGGTTCTGTGAACACCTTGTCCCAAACACTCAATTGCTCGAAATCTTTGAACAAACAAACTTTCTGCTCATACAATTGGATGTCTGCACTGAGCTTTCTAACTTTCAACCCAAATTCTTCTAGTGCACGTCTGTATTCGTCAGAAGACATGATACAACTGTTTTTTACATCCATACCTTCAACTAATATCCATCCAATCTCTCTCTCTCTCCCTTTCTCTCTCTCTCTTACTCTCACTTCTTCTTCTCTTTTTTCTCTCTCTCTTTCTCGTACACATCATCCAGACAAGGGTGTGGGAAAAGAATACACAGAAAAGTCTAATAATTGTAAAAGTGTATAATATTATAAATGTAAAAAAGAATAATAAAAATGAAAAAAAAGTTTATACAATAAAATATGAATATTAGGAATAATTAGATAATACTAAGATAATTGAAAATATACATATATACAACATAAATTATTGGATGAATAAAAGAAGTTACATTTTTATATGGGAAAATAAGTCATCAATACAACAGCGTTGGTTTGAAAATTTTGATGCAAAAATACTAAGGAGAAAATCAATCCGTCAAACTGTAGTGACCCCACGGAAGTGTGTCAAATGAATCGTGAATCAGTTTCCGCTTATCATCTTTGGGACTCAGGCCAATTTTTGTTTGTTCGATGGAAAAAACATCGTGAGCGTAGGAACGAATCGTTTGCTGGGCTACGGTCTTTTCTTTCCAAGCCGTCAGACAATCCACATAGTCATCAAAAGTCAACTTATTTTTGACGACGCATTTCTTGACACCCTTGGATTTTTTAGTTATACCGAAATTTTCCAATTCCCTATCTAGTCGTTCTTTACTGAATCCCTTTCTTTCCAATCGCTTTCTCTCTTTTTCAATATCCTCATCCGTTATATCCAATTTATAACTGTACATCTTGGACCGTAGTCCAGCAAAATGCGTAATAATCTTACCGTTTGCCTCATCCTTTAATAGGCCCAAGACTTTTTTATTTACTCGAGGTATACCATAAATATTGTCTGGAGCATAGTCAGACGTGTCAAATCTCTCGATATTTGCATCAATCACCTCACTATACGCATCGTCACATACAATTTCGTAGATGAAGCTGTCCGTATCGGTATACATGAGTTTTACGTCAGCTCCAAGCTTTGGTAACATGAAATTGTAGTGGAAATCATACATGACGATTTTCGATAAATCAAGAATAGCCATACCAATGTATAGGGGCTTGTTGAAAATCAGCTCTGCTTTTTTCAACTCTACTGCCACCAAATTGTCGTCGAAAACTGTCCGCTGTTGAAACCGAGGACTTGAAATTAAATTTTTAATGCCATAGCGGCCTTCATACATTCTGACTAACTTTACTGTTCTATGATTACGAATATTCTCCATCGTCTTCCCAAACACCGCATTATTGGCTAATTTCCTTAAATCTTTTTCAAAATCGTTTGTGGCTAGAGTCCTCAATCGAGTATTCAACTCGATGTAGGGCTTTAGCCACGTGGATTGTTTGAACTTTAATACTTTATGAATCTTGGTCAATTTTAGACCGTGTTCTAATGCCTGCTTCAAATTTCTGTAATGTAAAGTATATGACTTTTTATCGTACAGTGTGGTCATTAATTTGGATAATTTTGAATTTGGCGGTGTGCGGTGTTCGGGACAAAATGGTAGGTCCTTGTGTAGGTCATGCAACCCCTCAGGATACTCCAAATCAACTTGTAGAATATAGCCTTCTGGACTGTTGTCAGGAATTTGGGTTACATCAATGTCAACATTTTCTACCCATGTAAAGCCCCCATAAGGGAGGGGTTCGCTCATTGCTTTTCCATAAAGGTTATTTACATCGAGATAAAGAAGGTACTTTGACGGCTTTTTTGGATCGTAATTTTTCTGGTACTTATTGTTTGCTTCGCTATACCTATTGCAACAAACCGATACTCCTCCTCTTATCGCCTGCTCCACAAACATCACCATGTCGATGTCTTTGATGATTTGCAGCTTACACCCAGTATACTTGAGCATGCAGTCCCAAGTATAGCCAGGCATGGTGTAATACCAAGCAGGATCGAGGCCATAGGTCTTGAGGGATGACGCACGGAAATTTTCCATGACGTCAGCAAGAAGAAGAATATCGGTCCGCATATATAGGTCGCTATATTCTCCCAGCGATTTCAGCTCGAAAGATTCCCAAACTTTTCGCGCGTGCGCGTAATCGTCGTCCGAAATATTTGTATCGTTCAATTTGTTATAGAAATTCTGAATACTTGGCAACTCGGATTCATCCAATCTTTCCACATTATCGACATAATCATATGGGAATACTCCTTTTCGTGTCAACAAAGCAAATTTCGTGTCATTCACGTCGCTGAATTCCTTCTTCAGGATTTTCAAATCATTAACTTTTAGCGTTGACACTAAAGCATCGAGACTGGTTCCCAAAAAGCGGAAAGAGTCGATGAATCGGAATTTTATGCTTGTTTCATCATCATGTTGTGTAAAGGAAATGTATTTTTCGCGATTAACCGGGAGTACGCTCACACGTCCCCGCTTGGAAATGTCTCTGATTATAAAATGCGAATCATATCCTGAGAGGTTGTGGAACGTAATGGGAACAACGAACAGTTTCCTAAAGTTGAGATTACAGGGAGCCTGGTATGCGAAGCCTCTGAATGCGCCAGTAAAATGGTCGTGGTCGCGTACGATAACGTCTTTTGCCTTGAATTTCTCTTCGCAAATGTGGCAGATGGTTGCGCCACTGGTACTAGCCGGTTTGACTACCATTGGAACGATATTTTTCAATTTGGATTCGACAAATTTGGCAATTTTAGACATTTCGCAGGCAAACCAGTCCATGCAATCTCCGCCCCTATGACTACGATAAAATGACAGCGAGTCATCGAAAGAACATTTAAAATAGTACCCAGCACTGTATGCTTTATGATGTTGATACTTTGAAGTGGTTTTTGAAATTTTGGAATTACATTTCTCCAACTGCGATTCGAAATCAGCATAAATGATGAAAGGACACGTCTGCTTATACACATGGTTCTTAAATTCTACAAAATCATACTTGGGGAATGAAATTTTCTCATTATTAATTTTCTCACATAGAGCAGCATGACTATCAAGCTTCTCCTGACAATGATAATAGTTGAGGCACCGATCGCAGATGAATTTCTTACCCTTATATTTGTTGAGTTGACTTGATACTAGTCGTGAAAGGTCCTTAATCCAGACATAGTGATATTTTATATTGACGTTCTCTTCAGCATTATCGTTGTCAGGAGGAGCTTCATAGTCATTCAAATTTGGGAAATATTTGTCCTGAATTAAAAGCAAATTAACGTGTCGATTGGATTTATGCTTAGTAAGTCTGGTGGGTACTACAGAGTAAAATGTTCGTTCGTTGACTTCTGTCAACTCTAACGCATAAACATTCACCGAAATAGCATTCATTTTTTCAAATTTTGTTATTTGGGGCAGCTTCATTGGTATGTCTAATCCTTTGATGTTCAAAATCTGTGAATAGTGAGGATAATTCTTAACTCTATTTGAATTTTTTTCAATGGGATGCAAACAACTGACTATGCTCCAAAAGAAGCATGCCTCATCATCATTTTGGACATTGATACAAGCATGCTTTCTCTCAATCTGCTCTGGTAATTTGATAAACGATGAGCCATTGCCCATTTCATATTTATTTATGGCAACCTCCAAAGAAATAATTTCGCTCAAGGCCCACCCGCTATTCTTCTCGGCAAATTCGCTAAGTTTATTGAGGATCACATCTAGCGCATTGATTTTGAACCAATCGGCTAGGTCCGTTCCTGCGTCCACGATGGCATTGGGAGTACAAAAATGTTTGCGGTCAACTAATTCCCCATTATTCGACTGCTTAATGAAGTCACCGGAAAATGTAAAGTTGACTTTTAGCATTGAAAAGCGCCCCAAAATTTTTGAAATTCTCTTATTCACTAATCTAAATGAATCCTCCAAAAAGTCAATAATCTCCTTATGTCTCAAATTCAGAATAAGACCGGTCTGAACTCTCGACGCGAAGATTGAATTAACATCAATCCAACGAATATAGGGCTTCAGGCCGGAGCCAACATGTCCTCTATTCATAGTTTTGATGAAAAATCTCATCCGTTTCAGTTCCCCGATCTTAGTCTGAATTTTACGCTTCAAACCAATCGAAAAAGTATTTCTTTTCAATGCTAAAATACATTTCCGTATGTGTGAACGGATTGATTTCAATACAAAAAGTGCCAATGGTTTCGAATAATTGTTCTTGATCAGTAAAAGTGTTTCGTCAACTTTGGTCAAGGTTTTATTGATGCTCTCCATTGTTATATTGATGATATTTTACCCAAATAAAAAAATGTAGCTTACTTTAATTCTCCAAAATTTCAAACGAAGCTGCTGGATTGGCCTTCCCAGTCTCCACCTTTCCTCTGAATACCAAGGAATATTTCCCGCTACCGAAATATCCAATGTGGGGGGAATAGGTCTCAGTTACACGACTGGGCAGGAACACAACAGAGTCCTCCAACTCAATCAGAACAGATTTACCAAATTTTGTGGTGACCACTTTCGCTGTCTTGATTGGTTGGGGTTGATCGAGCAGGAGATCCACCAACTTCACGCTTGGTTTCTGTTGTTTTGAAGCAATCAGAGAAGCTGCGTTGATTTGAGTAAGATCCATCTGGTGGGAAGACAAAGGACAAAAAACATCAGCAGTCCAACAAAGTCATGATGAGCTTGATACTAGGATGGATTATTTTCGATAAAACTAGAAATAAAATCAATCTGCGATTGATCATTGATACTTTCATTGAATTGACTCTCGAAAAAAAACTTGGAATGAAAAAGGTTGATGCGGAATGAGCACTAGGTTGTATTATTTTCAAAATAAAATGAAAGGGACCGATAATATAAAATTCGAGAAAGGAATGGGCACTGAATGAATAATTTGCAATGAAACTTAAAATAAAACTAAGAAACTCAAAATGGAATAAAAAAAGTCGGATAATATAGGATTGAGAATATAAATACGCACTTTGATAAAAAAGAGGTACTTACTATTATTGCTATTAATGCACACACACACAAACAGTGATGATTTGGCTGGAGCTGGTCAAGAGACAACGTTCACGATTGCAGACTCGAGTGTGAATGATGTTGTGCGGCGTCATCGCTTTTATATGCTGGCGGAGTTACCTCGTGACTTGCTGATAGTAGACGCGGATGTTCTGGAAAAACCCATCTGGAACGACTGCTGATATCGATAATTTCTTGCGTCATTCTTATCGTGTATTTTGTTTATGCGACTAGTTGGGTTTTTTTGTGGTTTTGATAACCTCCAACGTTTCCTGTTATGCTGCTGATTGTGAAATTGTTAGGTTTTTTGTGGTTTCGATAACCTTCGACGTTTCCTGTTATTCTGCTGATTGTGAAATTTGTTGTTGGGTTTTTTGTGGTTTTGATAACCTCCAACCTTATCTGTTATGCTGTTGATTGCGAAATTTGCTGTCGCTGCACCCGTGTAGAGATAAGCGCGCGCCAGCGATGGATATTATTTTCGACTCGAAGTTTCTTATCTCTGGAATGCATCTCTCGCTTCACTGTACCTCTACAGATCCGTTGCAAAGATAAGCGCGCGCCAGCGATGGATATTATTTTCGACTCGAAGTTTCTTATCTCTGGAATGCATCTCTCGCTTCACTGTACCTCGATAGATCCGTTGCAAAGATAAGCGCGCGCCACCGATGGATATTATTTTCCACGCGAAGTTTCTTATCTCTGGAATGCATCTCTCGCTTCACTCTACCTCGATGGATCCGTTGCAAAGATAAGCGCGCGCCAGCTATGGATATCCCGTTTGAATAGCATTAAAATAATTGAAATAGCACGGAGGTCGGAATACCACAGTGCGTATATTCGCTGCCTCATAATGCAAAGGTCCCTGGTTCAATTTCCCCCGGCGGTGACAGCTTTTTTTAATTTATTTATTCACGATGGCGACGTGACGACGTATGAGTAATTTGAATTTCGCGCCGGTTTTTAGTGGGCGTGGCCTCCAACCAAATGCTGGTCTCTGATTGGCTTGAGCCAGAATCCCTATAGCCCCTCTACTAACAAGTTTTCCCAAATTTGCGGGATTGTCGTATCCTATATACTCTGGCAATATCATCGATTTCAGCCCAATGCGCAAAAGCTCGAAGTCGTTTTTTGAAATATCTTTCAACCTAGGCGTCGAAGGCGGTTGAATAATTATAAGAAGATAGCGGTAAATTGCGAACAAGGGAAGCGGGAGGACCCTGTAAAGTAGGAAGCGAGTAGTAATTGAAGTTTCAACATTACTCAGAGTACTATTTTGATGCACGATTGCGATGAATTGATCTGAAATTGAAACGGAAGTATTATAATCCCCACTGAATTTTCCCAATTCGATTTATTTAAGGCGAACATTTGAATTATCAGGCTGAACGCAAGGAGGGTCGAACATTGTACTATTGTGCGGGGTTGCAACAAATTCTTGCTAGAACAATTCAGTATACTTACGAATGATATTTTCCACTTCCACATCCATTTTTGGATCTTTCAGAAAAGTCCTGCAGATACTATTGTAGTGTTTGAAGAAATCTTTGTGAATGATCATCTAGGATAGGATCGAAAATCCAATATTCACTCCAAATTCGTGGGTTATATCCCAACTCAACTTTTGAAGAATGTTTTTGAGTGAACATATGTTTACTCGATTGATGTCATATGCTATAGAAGCACTAGGTATCAGGTTTTATTCCGTATAACAAAAAAGATACAGGCATGTAATTGAATATATCGTCCGATAAGTTGTTGTGAAATGAGTAGCAGAATATTGCTAAATAAACTACTACTACTACTACTATATAGTCGCGGATAGCGGTACTATAGCATACATATGGCAGTTTGTCATACACTAAATATTGAAGATACATCTATATTGTTCTGATTGAAACTCATTACGTTGATCCGAACGGTTGTAATCCATCTTTGGTTCTGAAACAAATATCGAGTAAATTCAACTTCACCCCAAACAATATAGTAGCTAGTAAGACTCCGCCGAGAGGTGACTGCTGATGACCAATGACTCCCAAGAATTGAACACCATACTCTAATATCAGTGGCGATCTTGAGGCAATCAATGCGAATTTTTCATTTCATAAGGATTTCTTCGTGTGATATCTTCAAGACCTCGCGAGCTCATCCTAGGCGGCGGACATTTGAAGGATATATAGCGCTTTCGGCGACAAAATGTCTTAGAAGGATATCTTCGAGATATCTTCAGGATCACTTTGTGCTGCCTGGGGTGCATATTACAATGCGGAGATGTTTGAGCTCCTTAATTCTTTCTATGATTTCTAATTCAAGTAGACAAAGAAAACAACAACTGAAATATGAGTAACAGATTCAGAGAGATGTATCGAGAGAAAGAATGTGGAAACTTCACAATCGATAAGATTCCCACAGAATTCTCAAACACACGACATGTTTCGCTAACACAGTAGCTTCGTCAGGTGATATACTGGTACGATGAACTAAACTAACATTGGCTTGCTTATATATCCTACTTTCCCAACCTGAAGGATGAGTTACCTGTGGACAGGTTCGATAAACCTCTATTTTCGGAAATTAGGCACAATATCTACATTGAAATACGGTGTATTGGATTAACTTGAAAGGGTTGATATCTAATACATATTATCTCTTACTGAGAAAACAAATTCAACAGTGGTGAACTTTAGAGGTCTAATTGATCGTTTAGTGAATTGTCAGAGTATTTGAGTAGTGATTCACACGAGACCAACGAGACGAGACTTTTATGAAGTCTCGTCTCGTCCCGCCGATGAAATATGAAGTTTTGTCTCGAGTCTCGTCTCACAGCCTCTAGTCTCGTCTTGTCTCGCGTCTCGTACGAGAGTCTCGCAAATATATCGCAATTTTTCCATGCATAATCTTGTTCCAGTCTTGTACGTGTTATTCACCTTTACCTAATTTTTGGGTATAATGTAGAAGTAGGAAGAGAAAATTACAACAAAAATACCATTATTTATTGAAAAGTAAGTACCTAATAGGTACATACTCTCATCATAGATAAGATAATAGATAATATTTAGATAATATTTATTAGATAATATTTATTAATCCGTGACCAAATACATGGTATAGGACATGTCAACAGTTGTGTATAATATATTTATATATGTATTTATAAATACATATATAAGTAGACAATGGGTAATACTTCTAAATTAATAAATAGTATATAAACATATACAATTGTACATAGCACATAGATCATACATTGTTTGAACAATTACAAGGGGGACGCACATTTCATAAATTGTTGAGAATATGATATATGGGGACCATTAGAGACGACAGGGAGATTTTAAAAAAAAGCATAGATTATACTGGGATACTTATATGTCATAACTAGTTGTTTCAGTCATGTCAGGATCATCGAAGTATTCTTGTAATGAATAGTAAGCTTTTGAGAATAGTAGCATTTTCAGTTTCTTTTTGAACTTATTTAAAGGTTGGCAACTCTTGATATTGTTCGGGAGCTTATTATATATTTTGCAACTTGCATATGTTGGAGATTTTTCAAAAGTTGTTGTTCTGTGGGCAGTGGTTATTAGATTAGTCCCGTTTCTTGTATGGTATTGATGGTAGTTATTATTTTTTTCTAGTTTCTATATGTTTTTTCTGACATATAAACAACTCTTGAAAATGAAAATGGAGTAGAAAGTCAAAATTTTTTTTGCTTTGAAAATTTCTCTACATGAGTCACGTGGTTTCATACTAAACATCAGCCTAACAATCCTTTTTTGTGCTATGAATATTCTGTTAACCCCTGTTGCATTTCCCCATAGTGTGATATGAAATGATAAGGCAGAATAGACTAGTGCATAGTATACCTGGATTAAAATACTTTCATGTAGCTCATATCTCAGTTGCATGATTGCAAAATATGATTTGGATAATTTTTTTGACGTTAGCTCGATGAGTTCGTCCCATGCGAGTGTGCCATCTATTGTTACACCAAGAAACTTAGTTGAGTGGTGTATATTAGGTAATTCATTGGGTATTTCGATATTTCTGTTGAATAAGATAATTTTGGTTTTTTGAGCATTCAATATTAATTTATTGGAGTTGCAGTATGATGACATTTCTTTAATTCCTAATTTGATGGCTTGGATCATGCCCCCCACAGTGGATTCAGCTATACCCAGAGTTGTATCATCAGCAAAGTTGATTAAATAGAATTGTTTGCTTATGTTGGATGGTAGGTCGTTGAGAAATAGTAGGAAAATGAGTGGGCCAAGGATTGATCCCTGAGCTACACCAACATTTATGGAAAATTTTTCAGATTCTGCCCCATCCAAGGTAACATATAATTTTCTGTTTGATAAGAATGAGATGATTAAAGATAAGACATTCCCTCTGAAACCAAGATTATACAATTTAGATGCCATAAAATGTTTGTCAATAGAGTCAAAAGCTTTTGACAAGTCGAAGAATATACCCGCTACAAATTTCCTATGGTCAATATTTTTATGAATAAAATCCGCGAAAAGTGAAGTTGCAGTTTCAGTCGATCTGTCGGCCCTGAAACCATGTTGCGATTCGGCCAGTATGTTGTGTTTGTTCAGAAATTCCAAGAGTCTGTTATATATGAATCTCTCCAGAATTTTCGAAAAAATGCTGAGGAGGCTAATTGGTCTATAGTTATCTAAGTTCGACCTATCACCTTTTTTGAACACTGCAATCACTTTGCTAAGTTTCAAAACATCCGGAAACTCACCCTTCAAAATACATATATTTGTTAAGGTTGTTAAAGGTTCAACTATACTATCACTTATTTGTTTCAAGATTTTCACTAGCACATCATCTGGACCTGTTGACATTGTATTCTTGAGATTACGTATTATTGCTGAGATTTCTTCAGGTGTGGCTGGTTCGAAAAAGAAGGAGTGTGGGAGTATTTCCCCAGTGGTGCAGGTCCGAGGTAAGGTAGTTCCGAAGTGTTCCTCCATTTTTTCTTCGATGATACTTGAGAAGTATTGGCCGAAACAGTTGGCTACAGTTTCAGGATCGGTTAATACCTCGTTGTTTACATTGATATGTATTTCCACGGCTTCCCGACTATTTCTGCCCAATTTAGTGTTTACTTCTTTCCAAATTTGCCTAGTCTTGTTACTTGCCTCATTTATATTATTGTTCAGTGTTTCCCTTTTTGCTTTGTTCATCAGTTTACGATAGTTTTTCCTTTTGTTTCTGTAAATGTTTTCCAGTTGTTTGTTGCCCGATTGTCTATACATCTGGTAGGCAATATCCAGGTCGTTTTTTACTCGTCTCAGCTCGTCATTGTACCAATGGGTCTTCGAACCTCTGGTTTTTCTGTTAGGGACTAGTGGACATGCTGCATCATAGGCATCCTTGAAACAATTGATGAACCTTTCGAAATTTATCGATGGTGAGTTTTGTTCATCAAGGTTCCATATTGTTTCGTTCAATTTAGTTTTTAGGTCATTTATTGATTCAGTTGAAGTTTTACGGTGGTATCTGATTTTAGCTACTTCTATTTGAGATTGAGTTTGGGTGTATTCGTAAGACAGTTGGATGGTCAGGTGGTCTGATAGATGCGGATTGAAAGTTGATACGGTACACTGGTTTGGGTTGAGATTAGAAATTATATAATCAATACCACTGGTAGACGTTATATTATTTTTGTTTGTGCATATTCTTGTTGCAGATGTTGTCATATTATAGCACTCAACTGAATCCAACATGTCTATAAGTAATTTGAAGTTGCTGTCATTTTCATGCAAGAAATCGATGTTTAGGTCTCCACAAATTATAATTTTGTGGGTAACTATGAGCTCACTCATAGTGACTGAAAGATATTTCACGAAGTCTTTCACACAGCCTGTTGGTGGTCTGTAGATGCAGATTAGACATATTTTCATAGGGAGAGAAAGTTCCAACATGCAGTATTCAAATTCCCTCTCCATTGCATATTTACAAGGGAGTATTTTCCATTTCATCAATGAATTATGTTTCATGTATATAGCTGTACCCCCATGTTTTTTAGATTTCCTGCAGAAGAATGTTAGTAATTTGTAATTTGGAATGTTTGCATAGGTTATATTCGTTTCATTCATCCAATGTTCGCTCAGGCATACGAAGCCTATGTTCCTTTCCTTTGCTATTTGTTCTATTTGACTAGTTTTTGATGATATAGACTGAATGTTTATGTGTAATATGCTCAGTTGTTTAGTTATTTCAGTAGTTTTCCGTTCCTCTGTGTTCCTAAAAAATGGTTTTGATTGCTTACCTCACACAATTCGGTGGCAAGCGATATTCCTTCATTTGGGGGATACATTTTTTGTTCATCGGATGATGGTGCAACTTGGGAGAGGCGAGGGTACATATTATGAGTGCTGTGTAGTGGGGCATTCTCCGATGCTGTTTCCTTTTTTCCTTCATTTAGGGGATACGTTTCATGTTCGTCAGATGATGGTGCAACTTGGGAGAGGCGAGGGTACATGTAAGTACTGTGTAGTGGGGCATTATTCGATGTTGTTTCCTTTTTATCATTGGAAATATTGTTCACTGTGTACTTTCCATTCAATTTCTTCAATTTAGTACTAGGGTCGCTTATGTAACCCGTTAGTGCTTTGCCGAGAATATATATTCCTCTGTTTTTTAGTTTGTTGCTACGTTGGAAAAAATGTGTACCGTTCAAATAATTGTTGCATTCAAAAACTTTCACTGAATTTTGGTATTTGTGGAGTGTTTTCGATAAAAATAGGTTGTTCTCATATGTGTATTGGTTTCCTCTCCAAGTATTGTAGTTGTATGGCTCAGTTATGAAGATGGTGTTTGTATGCGCCATATTGATGGCAAACTGTTCAAGTTTCTCGGTGTTCATTTCGTGTCTATGCAGCCAAATAAATAGTAAGTCATTTTTTGTGAATGCTTTAGTATTAGTCATAGCCGTATTTAGTACTTCGTCCTCATGCGCTTTGGGTTTCATAATGGATTGTATTGAAAGGTATTTATTTTCATTTTGATGACTAAGGTATGATGCTAGGCATCTTCCATGATAATTAGATGCTAGGAGTATTTTCCTGTTGTGATTTGTCGATTCATTACTCGTGGAAGATTTGGAAATAGCACCACTAGAAGATTCGATTCTATGCTGGGAGTTCAATTTCGGACATTTTCCCACTCCCCTGTCGGTTTCCATTCCTTTTTCCATGGGTTCATTGTCACCGCTGGCCTGTTCTCTAGTTTGTAGGTCAGTTGTTGTGGCTTTGTGGCTCATTACTAGTCTTGTTTGTGTACAAATTGATTTTGTCGGTTTCACACTTTCGTGGGCTATTTTTTCAAGGTCCTTGATTTTATCTTCCAGTTCTTCAATAGTTTTTTTATGATCAGCTAATAAAGTATTGATTTCAAGTTCCATGTCTATTGCTTGTTGTATGTAAATATTTTTTTCTTTTTTCAATTTTTCGATGTAATTATTTTTCATTTCACTGTCTTCCGATAGATCATTTATCGTCTTTTCTAGAATACTAGTTTGCTCATCTTGGTCATTGGGTTCCCTTTTACAACAAATAATCTGGTTTCCTTCCACCATGGTGATTTTTTTCTTATTTGCAAGTAGACAGCTCTTATGGAAAATACTGTGGCATTGGATGCACACATAATGGATGAATGGTTTACTTTTACAGCATTTGTACGTTATCTGAGAGGATTGAGAAAGAGCGTTCATGATCGCTGTTAATTTTACCTATGGTGGTACAGATCTACGGCTGATGAACAATACTGTGATAAACACAGGTGAAACACTAGGATAGAACACTTGAAAACAAACGATCCGCTATAAACATTCACATGCCTATATTTGCATGTAGTCTTCAAATGTTAACAAAACTGGAGAACTATTCCAACATACATCTAAACCAGAAAAAAAAAACATTATTTATTCGAATGTTATATAAATAAAATAAAATGTTTTGTCTATCTGTGCTATATAGTCTGAATTCTTTCTAAATATGTTGTATTATGAATGAAATTCTCAAGTCTGCAGTGGGCACGCAGAAATATTTACCTGCGAGACTCTCGCACGAGACACGAGATGTCTCTCACGAGACTCGAGACGAGACAAATAAAAATCTCGTCTCGTCTTGTCCGAGTCTCGTCTCGAGTCTTATCTCGAAAACGAGACAAGACCATGCGAGACTCTCTAAAACGAGACTCTCGCGGTCACCACTATATTTGAGAATGTTGATTTCTGATGATTCAAAATGATTGAGTTTTATTGCTTTATTTTCAACGTGTATTGAATTATCATCAAAACTATGGTTTTCTCCAGATGTATGGTTGGCGTATGTTGAATTTGTTTCATTTTTCAAAAAATCCAACTCATGTCCATGAATTCGCTGATTAAACATACGACCTGTCTGACCGATATATACCTCAGGACAAGATCCACATTCGAGTTTGTATACCCCTGATTTTTCGTATTCAGAAGTTTCGTCTTTATTATTCTTGATAAACCGTCCCAACGTGTTATTTGTTCTATATGCCACTTTTAAGTCCTGTTTATGTAGAAATGAAGCTAATTTCTCAGTTAATGATCCGAAATAGGTTGAAGTTCTATAATTTTGATTATTATACTTGATGGTAGAATAAACTTCTTGAATAGCTTTATGATGAAGTTTTTTAGAAAAAATATACTGTCTATCAAATTAACGTTGTATCCGTTGTTGACAGCAATCTGTTTTATGATATTAAGTTCTTTATTGGAATTTGCTTCCGAAAGAGGGACATTAACTAGTCGATGTATTATGTGCTGCAAGTTTATATTGATAAAGATGTGTTGAATTATAATGGATAGTGATATCAGTGTGTGATGGATCATCAACTGGAAAATTAGTTTCATTTCTACCTAAACAGGACTTGAAAGTAGCATATAAAACAAATAACACGTTGGGAAGGTTTATCAAGAATAATGAAGACAAAACTGCGACTGCAAAATGACACGAATGAGTGATATGAGTGATATACATGAATTTGAATCTTAATTAAAATTGGCTTGCCTACTAACCTTTGTAAATGAGGAGTTTTTTCTGCGATGGCAAATCTATTGAGAGATTGTGAAATGTTACTTTTCATGAATTACTCTCCCAGATATATATACCTTTGTTGTCCATGTTTCGAAAAGATAGCCAATAATACCAACATATATCGAAGACTGGAACCTTTGGCACGATAATACACTACACTGTTTTACCACTAACCAAACCGATTTTTTAACGCCTCGACACGTGTTTCGCTAACTATGTAAGCATCTTCAGGAGAAGATTAAAACTGTTTTTTTCAGCTTTAATCTTCTCCTGAAGATGCTAACATAGTTAGCGAAACACGTGTCGAGGCGTTAAAAAATCGGTTTGGTTAGTGGTAAAACAGTGTAGTGAATAATACCAACTCCGAGAAACAACTACATGTCCTTTTCATCGCCCATTTCACTTCGCGGATAAGTGAATCAGGTACTGAACAACCTCTGAGTTCGCAATTAGAAATCAAATCACAGATTCATACTGACAGATATTTGATAACTTCAAAACAATTATAAATATGCCTGCAACGCACGTGCAGTTTTTGTTAAACACTTCAAATTCCACGTCGATGATTTTCTGATTTCGATATAGTGTAATATCTTTCCGATATCGATTCGTCTTTCCTCCTGTAACCGGAAAATAGTGTGATACGCGGGAAAAATATTAGATCTAAGCTCACGGTATTTTGTCTTCCTCCGATACGCATCTGGAAACAACACAACCTCGAGCTGGAAGCTACTACTTTCTTCTCTTGTATAATAAATAACTATTCCATCTGACGTAGAAGATGTTAATTCTTCGATTCGCTGAGATATCAGAAATTTCGATTTCTGATTCAAATTGCATAATTTTTGCTGCCATAAATATTGTATTTAACGTTCATATGATTCAAATATTTGCTATATATCACATGTACGTGTTCGACGTACGCTGTACGTCGAAATCGTATACGTTTGTCTTGAGAAGGTCGAGGACACTCAGGCTTGAATCTTACCTAAAATGGACGTCTTCAGGACATTGAGTGATATATGAGAACTAACGCGAAATAAGTATACTCATTGTTGATATCATTTTTTTCGTAGTCACGTAACGATAAAGATGTTGGAAATACAACCGTACAAAGTTCTATCACAAATTGTGAGAATTCTGGAACATATAGATTCTTGACAAGATTTGAAATCAACAGTTGAATATGACAAATCACTTGTTGGTTAATAAACTTTACACTCACCATAATCATATATAGTTGTATACATATAACTCATGTATGGTGTAGGTAGTAGATAAAAAAACATAAAGCCAGTTGCATTGAGCATTTAACAGACGATCAATTTATTGATAATTTGTTTATATCCAAGGCGATGATGATTACTTCAGCTGATGAGCTATAGAAGGGTCATTTCATCTATAATGTCAACAGAGAGGTTCTTGTGACAGCCCCTCGTTTATAAATACATAGTGGACTCTTTGATCATGATGAGTGGAATGTTATTTGATGAAAGTATGCCGAGTTTCTCCTAGTACCTTTGATTATGATTCATCTAGGTTTTTGAACAAGTAATGATCTATAACATGTTATAATCTTTGTAACACTCGAGACTTCCTAATTTTTCCATTTCCACCCTGATGCTACAAAGGAATGATGATCAGAGGCAACTTTCGAATAATTTCACTTGACGCTGTCGAGAATACGAGGAAATCTTCAGGCGCACAACTCCGATTGATGTTTAAGAGTATCATTATATTGGAGCATTTCGATAACAAACTGAAAGAATATTCACCGTTCGAACTGTCTCTACAGTCTTCATCGATTTTCTCAGAAGGAATGCGATCAGGCAGAAAATTATATTCGAAAGCATTTCGCGTTCATTTTTACATAATTTTGGGTGAAACAAACATTTTTTAAATATGAATATACTCATCAGATATTTCATTTTCTGAAATCATCATTACCTGCGAAACCATTTGTGAGAATTTTTATGAATGAAGTCGTGGGATTCCAGATAATGTCTTCCCACACCCTGAATTTCTGTTTTTGAACGTTATAATTGAATAAGAGCATGTTACTTTATCAAGTTACACACCAGATAAAGACTTTTTATTATTCATGGATGGTGAACCTCGATCACTGCTGTTACTGCTGCTGGCAGTGTCTATCCCACGTCAGAGCGCTCTTTGTGAATACTTGATTCAATATCTCTGATGTATGGTGTCGAGGGAACTGATGCTGATGATGGTGATGATGTTGGCTGATCGTCTGATTTATATGAGTAATCAAACACTAGTGTCATCTTGCGAGTTTCTTCAACTCCAATCTTATAATGATTTCTTCACCTCTGAAATTCACCTCTCTGAAATCTTGGTCGAGAATCTAGAGTGTAATGTTGAGCAATTCTCGCCTGCTGACTAAAGATAGGTAGATTAGATTTCTGAGAGTCTCGTTCATGGCGTAACCAGGATCGACTGCAACTGCAAACTCGTAGATCGTATGTGATGGTCTGTCGTTGTAGAGAGCTCCAGCAGTAACGTTGCTATCAATGTGAATGGTTCTCACTTTGGTTATGCTGACCGGCAAATCGGAAGTGTGGACTTGTTGTGCGTTCAACAATCTATTAGAGAATCCCAAGACTTGAGCTATGCTATCCTTAGGGCGAAAATCGATGGCAAACCTTTGGCTCGAAATCTCACACTTCAGTGTATTATGTATTTTATCATTCCTGTCTTTTGATATATTCAATATCTTCATCGATTTCCCAATTGTCATCCACATTCATTTTGAATTCTGTTATTATTTCTTCTTTTCTTTTAGTTCACTATATTTAAAAAAGTTTGCTCCTCTGCAACCCCAGCAACTATCGGCAACATAATATTATATCGAACATACTGCTGGGCATGTCATATTACATATTCCTCTTTTGAATTCAATGATAGCGATGAACAGAAGAATTCCAAATGAACAAATAATGTATACTAATATAACAATGAAAGGTATAATAATTGATGAACACCTATTATCAGTTTCACTGATAATAAGGTTCACGATTGTTATTACCACCCATCGAGTTTTTGGTAGCAGAGCATCATCAACCACGACCTCATAGGAATCTGACCCTTGTTCCTGCCAGACCCCTTGAAGAATAAGAATATCCTTTTTATCCCTCGTTTCTTCGGCTCATTATTGTGAATGTGTCCTGACTGACATCTCATCACCAACTTCGGATCTAACTCACTCATACAAGCCATGTCCTGATGAAGTTGGCGTTCCCGTGCTTCAATTCTGATATTTTTCTGCCCATTCATTGACTGGGAAGTGGCATTTCTGCATCAGAAAATAATTGGAATTGATTTATTTTTTAATATTTTCCAGAATGTACATAGTTTGATGATGAACTTGTACTACCACGAACTACCCAATTGAACCAGAATCAAATTTCTTACAAGTTACCCAGGAAGAATGCTGATTATGGAAAAAAGTATGCATTGATCTTCCTACCTATCTGTTTATATAATGGGTCCGAGGATAATAAACTGAGGTTTGGCGAACTTCTATTTCCTCAGTCTATAAATCTACCATCCATATTCTTCTAGTAAATTGAGAACCATTATCTGACTGAATCACCCT